GGGCTGCAGGGGGTGTGGGGCAGGCGGGGGGCTGCAGGGGGTGTGGGGCGGATCGGGGGCTGCAGGGCGGGTTGGGGGCTGCAGGATGTGTGGGGCGGATCAGGGGTTGCAGGGCAGGCTGGGGGCTGCAGGAGGTGTGGGGCGGGCTAGGGGCTGCAGGGGACTGCAGGAGGTGTGGGGTGGGTTGGGGGCTGCAGGGGGTGTGGGGCAGATCCAAGTCTGCAGGGTGGGCTGCAGGGGGTGTGGGGTGGATCGAGGGTTGCAGGGCGGGCTGGGGGCTGCAGCGGGCCGCCCATGGCATGCGGCTGGGTGACGGTGCCGTGCGACTGCAGGAGGAGGTGAAGGTGAAGATGAAGGAGCTGAACGAGCACATCGTGTGCTGCCTGTGCGCCGGGTACTTCATCGACGCCACCACCATCACCGAGTGCCTGCACACCTGTGAGTGCTGCAGGGCCGTGTGCTGACGTCCCCCTGTGCCCGGCCCGCCCCGCTCATCTCCCCTTCCCTGCCCTCAGTCTGCAAGAGCTGCATCGTGAAGTACCTGCAGACCAGCAAGTACTGCCCCATGTGCAACACCAAGATCCATGAGACGCAGCCGCTGCTCAACCTGAAGCTGGACCGCGTCATGCAGGACATCGTGTACAAGCTGGTGCCCGGCCTGCAGGAGAGTGAGTGCCTGGAGGGCGGTTTGTGCTGCAGGGATGGGTGTCAGGAGCAGCCCTGCGCCCAGCGTCCCACAGGCTGGGCTCTGAGTGACAGCGCAGTGACAGCGCAGTGGTTGTGATGAATGCAAAGCAATGCAGGGGGGGGGGCTCCCGATCGGCCCCCCGTCACTCAGGATGGGGAAGGGGACGGCGCTGGGGACGCGTCTGGAAATGTCAGCTCATTCCAGCACAGCGTGCGGGTGGAGGGGCTCTGAGTGCTGTCACGGAGGATGGGGACGTGCTTGTGCTGGGCTGGGAGCACAGGAGTGCACAGGGTGGACCAGGGCCCTGCAGCCCGGAACGCAGGAGGGGATGTGAGCGATGCTGAGAGCAGGGATGGGGGCCTGCAGGGCAGCTCGTGGTTTCTGCCAAGCATCCTTCAGAGCTGGGAGATGAGTGAGGGCAGCTAGGGGCCACCACACCACTCCTGGGTGCCTCGGGGGACAGCTCAGCACCGCTCTCCTCTCGCCCGCAGGTGAAGAGAAGAGGATCCGGGAGTTCTACCAGTCCCGTGGCCTCGACCGGGTGACGCAGCCCAGCGGCGACGGTGGGTGGGGATGGGGATGGGGCGCGGGGGGGCACGGGGACGGCAGCGGGGGGCTCATTGCTGCTCCCTTCTCCCAGACATGGTGGGGGGTGACCCCATGGGGCTGCCCTACAGCACCTTCGACCATTCCCGTGCCCACTACTTCCGCTACGATGAGCACGTCTCGCTGTGCCTGGAGAAGCAGAGGTGAGTGCCGTGGTTCTGCTGAGCTGCCCCTCGCTGTGGGGACGAGTGGAGAGCAGGACAGGGACCACAGCTCCCGTATCCCCCCCTTGTTACCCAGCTGTTACCAGGCTGTAGGGCTGCGCAGCCCCCCTGCAAAGCTCTGCCCCCTCCCCCCCCCCGTCGCCCCTTCCTGGAGGGCTGAGCGTTAATAAATGCGGTGCAGGGCACCGAGCAGCTGCCTGCCGACTCCTGACAGCAAAGTCAATAAGCGGCAGCGCTGGGAGCTGTGCTGGGATCGATGGCTGCAGCTCAGCTGCCAGCTCAGCCACGTGTCTGCCCTGCTGCCACCCCGACCGCCATGGGGAGCACGGGGCGCTCGGATCAGGGCGGCCCCCGCCTCCAGGGTGGGTTGAGAGCCAGCAGGGCTGTGTGCCAGGCTGTGCCCAGAGGGATGGCAGCGGGGTTATGGCCCCCTGGCTGCCCCCTCTCTTTCCTCCACAGCTCCAGTAAGGACAAGAGCAAGGCCGTTCTGCAGGTAAGCATCTGGGCACTGCAGGCTCTGCCCTCAGGCTGGCCGCGTTCTTTGGAGCACCCCCAGACCACGGGTTGGTGGGTTGTCCCGTGGCTGCTGCAGACTTTGGACGTTTGGGGAGCAGTTCTGCCCCGCACAGCGCTGACCCTGCCCCTATGGCTCTGCCCTTTGCAGCAGAAGTACGTGAGGTGCTCCGTGCGGGCGCAGATCCGGCACCTGCGGAGGGTCCTGTGCCACCGCCTGGGGCTGCCGCTGCAGCACGTGAGTGTGGGCCGGGCGGGGGGCGGCAGGGGGCGGCAGGGGGCCGGGAGCTCAGGCCGATGATGGCGCAGCCCTGCCCACAGGTGCAGATCCTGTTCAACGGCGAGGCGCTCCCCGACCACATGACGATGAAGCAGCTCTGGCTCTCACGCTGGTTTGGCAAGGTGGGCGTCGGGGGGGGACCCCCACCCTGCTGCAAGGGGGGAGAGGAGCGGGGGCCGAGGCCGCGGAGCAGGGAGGTGCGCAGTCACGGATGATGGATGCCGCTGGCTGTAGCTGCGATCGGGTTGTGCTCGCGGTGGGGCAGCAGCTCTGTGCAGGACGGAGCTCGGCGGTGCTGCGGGTCAGAGGGGCGTCCCAGGAGGGGTGGGACAAGTTCATGGAGCACTGAGCGCAGCGCCCTGGGCCACAGGGGCGGGGAGCAGCGGGAGTGCTGGGGGGCAGGGAGTGAGGGGGGGAGATGCCGAGGGGGCAGGGAGTGAGGGGGAGGCTGCTGGGGGGCAGGGAGTGAAGGGAGTGGAGCTGGGGGTCGCTGCTGCCCTGACACCCCTTTCTCGCCCTGCAGCCTGCACCGCTCCTGCTGCACTACAGCATCAAGGACAAGTGGAGGTTGGGGCGGGGGGCGGGTGCTGCCCCCCCCCCCCCGCAGCACAGCCCTGCTCCTGCCCCCCCTTCCCCCCCTTTAACTTAATGCCCCCTCCCGCTCAAGTTTATTTTTTGAATAAAACTGTTGAAAATCCATCACGTGTCCTTTGTGGGGAAGGGGGGGTGGCACATGTGAGGCTGGGGGTCCTGCTGGCTCCTCAGGGGGGAAATTGGGGCAGCATCCCACTGAGTCCCCACTCCACCCGCACCTTGGGATGTAGGGCTGAGGGGGGGTCGGCGCCCCTCAGTGTCAGTGTGGAGGG